GAAGAAAGAGGTCCCTTTGTCCAATTTGATCTCATCGTTTCTGCGCTTTGTGTAGAGACAAAACTGCGTTTTTTTTTTTTTTTTTTTTTTTTTTTCTCAATGCGCAGTGGAAAGATGGCTTCCCTTTGTGAATTTTCCCATTTAACACCATTCCCCTGTTAGGAGAAAAGGTGGAAGTGTCTCTTTTCAATTTAAATGTTGCAACGTGGGAAAGGTTATAAGGGGAAAAAAAAAACAAAGTGATTAGCTTCTTCGACCATTTGATTTAGGGTACCTCCGCTGTCCACTTGGGCAGTGTGCATATGACGTGTCCCTTTTAATCAAAACGTTGTTCATTCAGAGGGACTAAAAAAACAAAACATCATTAAGCGGAAGGCATAACAACGGAGTAGCGCATGTGCAAAATTCACTGCGCCAATAATGAACGTGCACCGCATTTTGATCGGGCTGCAGAGGGGCCCAGCAGGAGTAACGTGCTGTGATGTGCGATGTGCGATGTGCGACGTACGAATTGTGATACAACCTGGCATATCGGAGAGAGCACCCACAAAACTATGCGTTGCGACCAGCGTCCATCTATGAATAGGAATTTACACCAAAGGAGACGCATGAATAAGGGAGAAAAACAGCGGCTAGCAAGTTCGATGCTCCCGTTGTTAAATTTTTCAGAAAGCACTTTTCGCCTGAACGGGTCAGGTGAATTTTGGGCAGCGGCACGGAAAAAAAAAAAAAAAAAAAAAAAAAAAACATTATGTATACAAGTGCAACATGTGAGGGACCCATTTGCACTTTTTTAAAGGCGAAAAACGGGACTGCATAAAAAGCTCGTTTCTGAAACGTCAGCATTCTTTATGTTCGCTTTTCTTATATTTGGCGGCCCTACATTTTAAATTTCCCCCTTTAGGGACAAATGAAAGGGACAGTTGCAACAAAAAAAGCGTTGCCTCTTTTGTGGAGAGCACCTCATCATTTTTTTAACGCCTGCGTGTCGTTATTTTTTGCAACATGTGATTTATGAGCGTAGTACAATAGGTAGGGGAAACTGAAGGGGGAAAAAACGGAAAAAAAAAAGGAAACCATTCCGAGCTATCTTCCTCAGTGTCGCTTCCCAAATGGACAGCAGAGACGACGCACTGCTACAGAGAGAGGCGTTTTCCCTGGAGGAAATATTCGAGAGCGACATAACGAACGAGGAAAATAAATCCATCGTGGATTATTTGAGACAAGTACAAAATGAGAGGGACCAACTTCCAAGTACAGTGAGCGTAAGGAGCATAAAAGGGGCAGAACAACAAAGTGAAAACAGTGAAGGGAAATCCAATTCCACGCATCAAATATTTGTAGTACTGGACAAGTACAAGGAGACTAATTTGACCAAGTACAATTGTTCCACATGGAGGGAGAATGTTATACATTATGTGAAAAGTGTGAGGAAATATATGCACAGAAAATACAACAAGAAAATGATCGATGGGTCGAAGTACCATAGTGCAAAATGTGATGTACTCTCGAAACTGAAAAAAAAGGAAAATTTGATTTCTGTTTTTTCTTCATCGCCATTGTGTATTCATTTGTATATGTATGGCATTAATTACAAACAGGTGGTTTACTACCTCCATGTCATAGCTAGCCATTTGGTTGATCGGAAGGAAGGGCAGTCTTGGATGCTGTACGTCTGGATTATTTATTTACTCATTCTGTTGGACTCTCTGCAGGCCCTGGACTCGAGCGTCTCCTCGGATTTGCAGACGATCAAGCGGGCTTGCGTAGAAAGGGGGGAGGCCGTAGAGAAGCACAACGTTGTTCACCCAAGCGACTTAACCTTCCTGACCCATTTTTATTGCAACTCACCAAGTGCAATCAACAGCATGGCGTGCTCGTCCCACTGCCCCCAATCCATTTATTACATAATTTATTACCTGATCACAGAAATATTTAATCAGAAATGAGGCAATTATGGGGTTAGCGGCATGAGAACAGATTAGTGTCCGCATTCCGCGTCCTTAATAAGTTGCACTTATGGGGTAAGTCCAAAGTGTATGTGCAACGTTAGGGAGCACTTTAAAGTTCGCGCATCGATTAGGAATGTTTGATTCAATTCGTCTAGGCAGTGCGCCGTCCATCAGATGAACCGCGCTGGAGCACCCCCCTTTTTCGGACAGTATAATCCGCTGCCCATTTTCTTGCCCCATAACATTATAGCGTTATGTTGTTATGGGTCTATCGAAAGGTGGCCCTTTTTACATCTCTACCCCTTTTCGCTTTTTTTTTTTTTTTTTTTTTTTTTCCCAGCGTTTACTGTCTTACACACCCAAATGGGACATTCTCAATGTGCCATAAGTGATTCCTCCTTTTGAGAACAATTTATTAGTTTGTCAATTTTTTCCTTCTTTGGAGGGGATATCCACACGAAGAGCTTTTTTTCATGACGTCTTTCTTCCCGTGTGTGCAAATAAATGGGG